AATATTTATGGTACACACTGTATATATTTACCATTTCCAGTATCCAAAGGACATTCCAAAGTGTTTCTGTGACATATTTGAGCTACCGTTACATTGGCAAGTTGATTAGAACAATAGCCACATCCTGGTACTCTTAAACAGCTCGACTTTGTGGAGAACAAGTGGCAAATATCAATCGGCAATTCTAGAACAATGTTAATAAGGGTGACTCAAAAATGTACGGATGTTTATTAGTTGTATTTACCTATTTTTAAGACAGTGGCTTGTGAATCAATMCCCCAACCGCCAATAACATAAGCAGCTGTTCCATCGGGCTCAATAGTCATTGCTTGAGCATACGTTTGCTTCGGGTATGAACCAACTTTATCGACGGCTAAAATTGTTTTACTATTAAGTTTAAGATTTTATCATCACTTAATAGTAGCAAATAATACGAATTTCTTACACTCTGCCATCAAGTTGATCCACTGATTGCAACTGAACGAAAATGCATACAGAGCATCGGTAACATTCCAGGGATAGATTCGCCCTCCTAATACCAACATGTAGTGATCAGTGGTAACTGCCGAATGGAAAAACCTGGGCTTTGGCTATAATTATAACAACCCCAATCAACTTAAATTGAAGAAATTACGTCGGAAAGTACTTGCCACATTTCCGGAATTACTACTAGTTAGTTCGATCCAACTTTTGGTTTCATACTCGAATCTGTATAGACTATTCGACATTATGCTAGTATCCTTGTCGTAAGCGTATCCTCCAAATACATACAAGCTGTTTGTTTGAGAATGGAATACTGTAGTGTGTCCAAAAATGCCCACTGGACCGTTACCTTAGCGGAAACAAAATGTTTGTTATCCATTTACAACATACGTTAAAGGTGAAAGTTTAAATCTACATGCAAATAAGACGTTACACAAGACAATATTTATTAGTCTAGTAAATTACCTTTAGTCAGCACGGCTTTCCAAACATTTTTCTCAATATTATATTCCCATATAGTGCTCCAAAATCTATTCTGCGGCGAGTCTCCTCCAATCAAAACTAAAAACTCCTCTCTATCTGCGTTTCTGTAATAAGTCAAAGTGTGTCCATAAAGTGGCGGAGGCCACTCGTTCGTTCCAAACTGCTCGGTGAGAGATTGTGTCGTCTCCGTTATATCCTGTATTTGACTCCATCTCTGATTTTGTATGTCGAATTGCCAGAAGTCGTTCAGAGTTCTACAAAAAAGTTATTCTGGATATATTAAATAAGATGACAATTGTTTCAAATTACAATTTATTGATTCATCGACACCCTAATATATCAAATGGAAGTTTCCAATCATGATTGGAATTGAGATAGATGATCGATAAAAAAATACTAGTGACCAGAGCTCGATGAAACAAGTTTCGTAATTATGTGTGTATGTAATTCAATAGGTTTTATCAAAAAAAACATGCCACAAAAGTAAGAAAGTCAGTCATAAATCAATGGCCAAGATTTAAAATTGCAACGAACAAATCAAACATTAAACACAGACTAAAATGTAAATTTAAAACGATCTTTTCAATTTTAATCTTGAATTGTAGTCTGTTTTAGAATGCTTGGTTTGTACTTACAATTTTAAATTTTTACCATTAATTTGTGACTGCATTTCTTTGTTATTCGGTGTTCTCGGGCATTACTTATTAAACCGTTCGGCCCTAGATTGTATTCAGGGGTTTTTTGACAAACCCCTTTGAATTACATACACACATAAGCTGGTTACATTGCATTTTATCCAGTCTGTACACCCAATTTGTAGATCTATTTACTCCAAAGCATAAAAACCAAGATTTTGAATTTACATTTTAAGATCGATTTCAATTGAATTTATTACTTTTTTCGGCTTGTAAATTCTTACCTATTTATTGGATTACGACGAGGCTTGGTCAATCCACCATATACATAAATCGATTGCTTTGAATGAACGATGTCTGCTCCATGAAAATATCTACCTTGTGGCATTCTAGCGTCCGGTGTTGACTCTACTGTGACCTTTGAAATACAATCGCATATTAAAGTCCTTTAGGAAAACACAATTTTCGGAAAATTTACTTGCATCCAGCTAATGTTTTTGGTATCAAACATTCGGATGTCGTTTAGCGGTCCATGACTTAAGGAATATCCGCCAAACATCCATAGCGAGCCTCTGCGATCTGAAACTAAAGAGTGTCCAAACCGAGGCAGGGTTTTTCTTAGATGTTCCACACTATCCGATAAGCGTTCGGTGTTGAACAGTTCCACAAAGACCAATTGCAGCTTAGTTTCCCTATAATTAAAAGAAATATTTTTATTGATTGAAGGAAACCCTGTTAGAAATGACTCAACGACTCAAAACATTGAAGTGTAAAATCAAATCTATTCCTGGGTTTCAGTCATTTATTGTCTCTATTTATTAATCAAAATACGTTTCGGTGTATTTTTCCACCATCATCAGTTTTTATATGTGGCGTTGTTGCTGCTTTAAGCCTTGGCATGCATATTATAAAATGTTGGTAATTGTTGGTTACATCGTTAGTAACATTGTTAATAGCGAATTTTAAAAGTGAGTTTATCTTACTAAGCGAAATCCAAGCAGAATTAGCGAGAACTTCAATTACAAAGTTTTTTTCGTTTCAACATATTTCGTCTCCACTCTGCAAATCTGTCACAAATTAAGATGGATTTTACGCCAATAAAGCAAATTTGTGCGTAAAACCTTTCTTGTACCGCTATAAAACGTTTTTAAACTGATCGATTTTTTAAACTTCTGTGAGTTTTCAATATTCTTGCCCGCAAAAGAAAAGTAATCCGTTCTAATGTTTGATCGACCAGGTTCGATCTGCATTAAAAATAATCATCTATGCATGAAAGACG